AGGACTTTGCAGCCAGTCCTGAAGATATCTGATAAAATAGGGTCAGATGAAAGGGGAGGAGGTCCTCCCCTATCAGTGGACTTAGAAAGGGACAGGGAAGAGATGTGGGAAGGAGGGTGAGATTGGGAGGGAATGAGGGAGTGGAATACAGAGATACAGCTGGGATACAGGGTTAATAAAATGTGATTTATAATAAAAAAATGAAAAAAAAAAACAACAAAGGAAATCCAAAAAAAAAAAAAAAGGTCAGTTTAGTGGGCAGCTTCATGGATCACCACCATTTTAGCAATGATTTCAGTCCACATACTTTCCAAGACTGTCACCATCTCTAAATGAGAAGTAATCCTCATCATCTAGAAATACTTCAGTGCCTCACACTCTGGGAGAACAATATTGTGTCCAAATTTCACACCAACTGGTTGAATATCTCCACTCTTTCCATTCATGCTTGACTACAGGGCTAATTTGTTGCTTACAATGTTTTTCCTTGAGACTCTTCTAAAAGCATACTGCAATCTTTGGTGGCTTTAGCACCACTCCTGTTGACCAACACTTTGCCAAAAAACAGAAGGAAAATTCAAGCATATCATCCATGACTCCCAATATTTTAGCTGTGGCAACCCACTCTTGTAACCACTATATACATTAATATAATGACATGGATGACACAGGAAGAACCAAACTTGAGATTGAGTAAACTGGGTTCACATATCTCCATTGCCATTTTAATCTAGGATTTTTTTAATGAAAGCCAAAGTGGGCTTTTCTTTCTTTCTTTTTTATTATATTTTTATTTTTTACATTAATTACATTTTATTCAATTTGTATCCCAGCTGTAGGCCCCTCCTTTTTTCCCTCCCTATCCCACCCTCCTTCCCTCTTCTCCTTCCATGCCCCTTCCCAAGTCCACTGATAGGAAAGGTTCTCCTCCCCTTTCATCTGACCCAAGCCTATCAGGTTTCATCAGGACTGTCTGCAATGTCCTCCTCTTGAGGCCTGGTAAGGCTGCTCCTCCCTCAGGGATGGTTGTCAAAGAGCCAGCCACTGAGTTCATGTCAGAGACAGTCCCTGTTCTCCTTACTAGGGAACCTACTTGGATATTGAGCTGCCATGGGCTACATCTCAGTAGGGGTTCTTGGTTGTGGCCATGGATGGACCTTCTTTTCATTATTATTTATTTACCTCCTTGTTGTAGCTCTGTCTGTTCTCCCCTCCCAGTTCCACCCTCCCTCCTTTCATCCCCCCAATATTTTCCTCAGAAAATGGGAGCTCCCTTTCCCATCTATCCCCAGATCATCATGTTCTATCAGGATTGAGTATGTACTCTTCCCTGGTGGGCTGGCAAGACAGTCCCACCAGGGGGAAGTGATCAAACAACAAGCAAATAGCTTTTTTCTAGCCCTTTATGCTGAAGTAATGTCTATCTTTATTACTGAGGTGTGTTTCTTGTATGCAACAGAAAGATGAGTCCTGTTTTCATATTCATTCTGTTAACCTGCTTTTTCCTTTTTTTTTTTTTTTTTTTTGAATTGGGGAGTTGAGACCATTGATATTGAGAGATATTAGTGACCAGTTGCTGTTACTTCCTATTATTTTGATGTTGGTGGTGTTAGAGTGTGTGTGAGATTCCCTTCTTTTTGTTTTGATGATGTGGGGTTATTCATTAGCTCTGTTTTCTTGAGTATAGTTGCCTTTCTTGGGTTGGAGTTTTCCTTCTAGTAGTTTCTGTTGGATTGGATTCATTGGATAGGTACTATGTAAATTTGTTTTTGTCATGGAATATCTTGGTTCTACCCCGATGATGAGTAAAAGCTTTGCTGGCTATAGTAGTCGGGGCTGACATCTGTGGGCTCTTACTGTCTGTAAGAGATATGCTCAGGTCCTTCTGGCTTTTAGAGATTCTGATGAGGAGTCAGGTGTAAGTCTGATATGTTTGCCTTTATATGTGACTTGGCCTTTTTCCCTTGTAGCTTTTAATATTCTCTCTTTGTTCTCCACAGTTAATGTTTTGATTGTTATGTGGCAGGAGTGTTTTCTGGTCTAATGTATTGGTGTTGGGTAAGCTTCTTGTATGTTTATAGGCCTCTCTTTAGGTTGGAAAAGCTTTCTATGATTTTGTTGAAAGTATTTTCTGAGCCTCGGAGCTGGGAGTCTTCATCTTCTATTCATTTTTTTCTTATGTCTGGTCTCTTCATAGTGCCCCAGATTTCTGGGATGTTCTATGTCAGGAGTTTTTCAGAGTTAACATTTTCTTTGACTGATGCATCGGTTTCTTCAATTGTATTTTCTAATCCAAGATTCTCTCTTCATTTTTTGTATTTTGTTGGTGATGCTTCTGTCTGTAGTTCCTGTATTCTTCCCTAGGTTTCTTATCACCTGGATTACCTCAGATTGTGTGTATGTGTGTGGGTGTTTGTTTTTATTTTACTTCCATTTTTGGTCTTAAACAGCTTTATTCATTTTCTTCTGTTTGATTTTAGTTTTCCGTGTTTTCTTTAATTTCTTTAAGGGAGTTGTTCAATTCTTTCACTGGTTTGATTGTATTTTCCTGTGCCACTTTGAGAGCTATATTTTCCTCCTTTTAGGCCTCTATCATTTTCACAACCTCAGATTTAAAATCTTTTTTCTTATACTGTGGGTGTGATAGTATCTCCAGGGCTTTCTGGGGTAGGACCGCTATTTTTGGTGGTGTCATATGGCCTTGAGGTTTTTGCTTGTGTTCTTTTGCTGGCCTCTTGCCATCTGGATGCCTTTTATGTTACCCGGCCTGTGGTCCCTTCACTGGGTTCACTGTCTGTGTCCCAGGTGGGCCAGACAGATGGGGAGCAGGTGGAAAGATCTCCAAGATGAATGCTGCTCTTGTGCCCCACAGGCTTCCTAAGGATGGAAAACAATGGGGTTTGAGGCCTGCACCCAGCTCATCTCTGCTGGCTCACTGTCTGTGACCCAGGTGAGCCAGGCAGGTAGAAAGATCTCCAAGCCAAAAGCTGCTCTGGTGTTACACTGGCCTCCTTGGGATGGGGGACAATGGTGTTTCAGACCCCAGCCCAGCTCACCTCCCCTGGTCTTGATGTCTGTGACCCAAGTGGGCAAGAGATGGGGAGCAGGCAGAAAGATCTCCAAGCTGAAAGCTGATCTGGCACCACCAAAGTAGGGCTTTTCCAATACTCATTTTTATACTTTTTAGAAGTTGATTATTTCTGAAATAAATTTCTTCAAATTCTGAGATATATGATGCTCTGAATTTTTTTTCTTCTTCTTAAAATATCTCAGAAACTTCATTCATTAACTGCACTAATGTCCTTGGTCAAGTTCAAATGCAGCCATACTCTTTCTTGTTGTTTGTACTCTGAAGTGTCACCCATGTGTTTTTCATTTAGAATGACCAGTTCCCTTAGTTTAAAAGGATAAATTTGAGCAAATAAGTGGGAATAATGTGATGTAAAAGCTTGAAAGCTGGTTACTTTTTCTAACAAACCACAAACAAGAAGAGCTTAGGATAGCAAATTAGAGCAATCAGTCCCTGGAACTGATAGTAACAGAACTCTGGAGGCCCCTAGAACCCTGTAACAATACAGTTTTTGTTGTTGTTTTAAGCTGCTCAGTTTGTAGCATTTAATAGACTAAAGTCATGTTTTAACCTAGCGGTCTTTGGTGTGTTAGTGTTAAAGTTCTCTTAAGATTTGTTCCATTAACTATTTCATTATAGGCTTACCAGACTGCTCTGCCATTCAGCTCTTTGGGCTAGTACCCAAACAAGCATATTTTCTCTTAGTTAACAGGCAGGGGCAGGGAGGAGATGAGAGAGGAAGGGTGGGATTGGGAGGGAATGACAGAGGGAGCTACAGCTGGGATACAAATTAAGTAAACTGTGATTAATATAAAAAATATAATTAACAAAAGAATTTAAATTTTTCACTTACCAGCTATATAATCAACCCCATTGAACTTCAGTTGCCTGATAACATTTGGCATACCAAGACTCTTAGTTTATTAACAAGGAACAAAAAAGATAATTGAAGAACGCTGCTAAACGGTGATGAAACTTATAACATAGATACAAAAATCCAGAGTATAGGTGCCATGCTGGATGAGTTCATCTATGCTTCCCTCTGCTATCTCTGCTCCATCAATGCAAACTCAATTCTATCATCTTAAAATTAGAGTTGTTACAGTGGCATAGATGACCTTTGCTATGTATGCATCACTTACCTGCTGAGAGTGCTTAAGCGATATGAAGTCACTATAAAGAAATATGGGAACAAAACTAAAGTCTAAAAATAAGCTCAAATAGTACACAGTTTTAGATGTTGCAAATGCAGCCAGTATGGCACAGCGATGGTGTATCCTTTGGTCCATGGCACCACATGGTGGGTTTCAATAGCATGTGTGTCTGTGCTATTTAGCTGTTGCCTTATCTGATGAAATGCCAGAGGAGGCCAATAAGTCCCAATAATGCCTGCATGGACACATGGCCAACTGACATGAAGACTTTCCACAGCCCAGACCTCATGAGGTGCTAGTCACTTAAACACTATTGGGAGCCTTGGGGACCAAACCTATGACATATGAAGCTTCATAGAAAATTTTTCCCAGATATCTGAAAAATGGAAAATTTTAATTAAAAATATAGACAGACATATTTTTAATTAAAATTTATATATATATAATATATAATATAATATAATATATATAATATATATATAATATAATAATAATATTATATATATTTATATATAAATTTATATATATGCCCCTGCTTGAAGTTATGTAAAAAAAAAATAACAATGAACGGGTATTTTCTTGGAGTGTTTTCACACCAAACAAAATTTTCTTCAGGAAAGAGTACTTTTTTCTTATGTGCCTGGTCTTATGAAGGGAAGAAAAATTTAGAAGCACTTACAGCACCCCTTCTCATAGTTTACTGGGAGAAAAGAGGAAGACTTGAAATTTAGAAAGCAAATGATACTTTCACATTTATCCAATTTCCCACCACTTACCCAGGAGCTATATTGCTGCAAGACAGATTGTCTCAGTGCGGTGCATAAGTTATAGTCTTCGGAACTGTGGTGTGCTTGGTGTGCTGCCCAAAGAATATTAATCTCTGCAAAACACATGATTTAAAACAAGCCATGAGAATGAGAAGAGAGCAGCTTCTGTTGAGGCACGTGCTTTGCTCTGCTGAGAGCAGATGAAAAGCCTGTAACATCTCTGAAAAGGCTAGCCAACAAGAATGATAATTAAAATAAGGCTCCATAAAGCATTTTTGGAACTAGAAAGTATACAAATTATAAGTATACAGGGACTGAATCATAACCAGTAAATACTCACACTGCATGTAACACAGTTACATACCACCAATGAAATGAAATGACTTCCAAAACTCATGTTTCGCCAACATTTACAATATGACAGATCATAAAAGCTAACTTGTGGTGTTATAACAACATAGTCAATAGGCAGGGATGTGTTTTCAGTGCGTGATAACACATTTCTAATTAAAGAATTCTCCGGTGGGAGAAATTGGTATGTAATGAAATATTACACCATATTATTTCCTCCTGGCTTTTTGAGCTATCTCACAAGCTGTCTGTTGAGACAAGCAAACATGACAATATTTCATGTTAATCTTTAAAATTAGACTTTATTCACACACTAGTACATTGTACTTGGTTCTTCTCAGAGCTTAGCAATGTGTCCATCATTTCACAAGCCTTCTGTGTGCCCTCAAAATAAAACAGGAAATTGAGACTGTTTTTTTTTTTTTTTTTTTTTTTTTTACACCAGGATCACCTCACAAGGCCTGGAGTCTCTTCAAGCGGAGAAGAGTTTTTTTCATTAACCATTGTCTCATAAATACTTAAATCATGATTAGTTATTGTTTCAATCATTTTATGAATCTTACACTGTAGCCAGGAAATCCAAGAATTATTCTTTACAAGAATGAGGAGTAATTTATCATATGCTTCATTGAAACTACTCAGACGCTGTATTTGAGGCTGATTAGGGGCCAGCTTTCTGGCTTATTTATTACATACATAGCTACAGATAACAGATTTGCAAGGACTGTTTCTTTGAATCTTCCGGTGTTGTATGGGCTTTGCTTAAGAGGTAATAAATTTGACAAATTTTCTAAGTTTTGTAAACTGTTTTCCAACTGAGGCCTTGAAATAATCTAAACACAATTTTTTTTTTTTTCTTAGAGAACTCACTATTGAACGTTTTGGAACCTGGTACTTACGAGCCTTGATTAAGAACAAACGTGTCTCCTTTTGACTTACCAATCTTTGAGTTTGCATATTGATCCTAATATACCCCAAATACGAGTTCAGAGAGGGGTAAGCCGGTTGAGAGCTGCTTCCTCACAACCCCCACAGAAGTCATTGCGGAGCCAAGAACCCATGAAGGAGGAGGTTAAAGAGCTGTGTCTGTAGTTGTTTTGAAAGCGTTTACTTCCTATCACAAACTGTGTAACAGGAGCCTGAGATCCATGGAGCGCAGCTGCACACACAGCGTGAGGTAATAGGATCCCACTACTCACAGCCCCTCTCCGGAGTGGGAAAGACACAGGGAGATTGGATTGTTGCGCACAGCCTGTATTCAGCTTATGAGAAGTAGAGAAGTAGAGTATTGTCAAGCATGCTTACAAAGAGGTATTTAAAAAAAATGATTAAAAAAATAGTTCGTATGTGAATAAAAAAAGAAAAAGTTGATAATTATTTGGTTCACCTTCCTTAATGCTTGAAAGGAAACATTAAAGAGGAAAAAAGATATTATTCAGAAAAGCTCACTTTATGAAAAGATTTAATAAAATCATATATTTGGTTCAACAATAATACTTCTTTCTTTTCCTTTAAGCTAATTGTAGACTTTATGCTCATATAACATTTTATTAGAGCTTTGCAATAGCATAATTAGAAATAATATTTTTATTCATAGTGTCAAATGTACATTTATTGAATATATTTTAATATGTAGCCAAAAAATCCATTCATTTAGCCAAATTCTAATGTATTATGTGTGTTGTATTATTAAATTTTTAATTATAAATACTTTAATCAATTTATAAGTTTTAGGGCCTGAATAGTTCAGTGGTTAAGAGCACTTTGCTGTTCTTTCAGAGGACCCATGTTTTCTTCTCATCACCTACACTGGGAGGTTCATAACTGCTTGTAACTCCAGTTCCTGGGGATTCAATGTCCTGGACTCTCTTAGTACCTGCTTGCATATGGTGCTACACACACAGGCAAACACACACACACACACACACACACACACACACACACACAATACACACAAAAAGAAACAAATCTTTATAAAATGTATATATTTGCATAAACCTCCCAATTTCTAATATAATGCTTGACAAACAAATGCAGCTATGTAATTACTATTACTACAGAGAAACTTATCATTCTATATTTTTTTCCATCCACCCTGTGGTTGAGATAGGTTCCTGAAGCATGTTAGGGAATGAAGAACTTTGAGAGTGTGGTGAAGTGGAATTTGGGGGATCCTCAGCAACAAGTCCTTGAGCTTGGGCCACCTGATTCTCTCCTGCCAAGTGAGAGAAGGCTCTGGAGATTCCAGATCCTCCCTACTAAATCAGCGAGGCTAAGGGACTCCCTTCTAGGAAATGGGATTTTGGCAAAGATGATGGATGGGATGTCTCTTTGGTAATTAAAAAGAGTAGCTGCGTCTCCAGTACTCTCTCATATTCTCCCGTTTCCAGATGCCATGGTGGGAATCACCCTTTGCTGAGCTACTTCTGAGGGGAACTGAGAGAAGCACCATACTGAGAAGCAGCCGTCAGGAGCGAAGCCTGTTAGTATACACATCAGGAATCCAGCCAACAGTAATACAAGGGCATATGGACAGAACCCTGTGCAGCTGAGGCTCTGGATGCAATACACCCTTCCCTGAGCCAAACCACCCAGTGACAGGTAAACCTTCAGAGCTTGGGCTGGTGGGTTCATGAAAGCCACAGGCTGATTTTCAACTCCTTGAAATAATCCCCCAGTAAACTGTTCTTAGTTTAAGTTACTAACATGTACACCGAGGTATAAATGAGGCATCCAGTGACACCATCACCCTAGGTCCATGCCATCCTTACAATTTGCTTCCTGTTCTTCTAGTTTAGCTTTGAAGATGATGATTAAATAGAAGAGGGAGGTAGGAGGGGAATGGGAGGAAACAAGGGAGGGGTCCACAGCTGGGATACAAATTGAATAAATAAATTGTAATGAATGATAAAAATAGTAATAAAAGAGTAAAAAAAAAAAAAAAGAAAAGAAAAAAAAAAGAAACTCAAAATGGCCAAAAAATGGCCAAAAAATAAAGAAGCCTACAGTACTTAGTACTCAAATTATGATGTTCCCCCCACTTTTTTTTAATTCAACATAAAAGAATAAAGACTGCCCCCCTTCTGTGTTTATAATTATTTGCTCCTTAATTGCTGAGTGGTATTCCTAAATAAAACTGTTCACTGTTTTGTTTGTGTTCATTTTCAATTTGATATGCATTTCAGTTATTTTCAGTGGGTGATGCAAATAAAGCTTCTGTCAATATTTTTTTCTTTTCAAATGTCTTATTTGCATAGACTCATTATACATAGTAATTGGCCATATTATGACATTTTCATGCACATATTAATATATTTGTCCAAGTTACTATCTGTCTACTTGTCTTAGAGCTTTTATTGATCTCCCTTCCCTTTCTAAATGGCCCCATTCTTCCAGTCTTGTTTACTGTTATGTCAAAGCATGTGTATGTGTGTGTGTGTATGTATGTGTATGTGTGTGTGTGTGTGTGTGTGTATGCCTTGTATGTCTGTGGAAGGTTGGAAGATTAGTAATACAGCATCCTTGAAAGTATGTGTGTAATTCACTGTCCTATTGTTATGAACAGACACCATGACCTCGGCAACTTATAAAATAAAGCATTTAACTGGGGGCTTCCTTACCAATTCAGGGGTGATTCCTTGACCATCATGGTGAGTAGCATGGTTGCAGTAAAGGTAGCAGATAACTTAGATCTTACGTGCACTGTTAGAAAGAAGAGACAGAAAGAGATTGGGCCTGGTGTAAAGCTCACGCCTGATGGCTCAGCTCCTGTAAGAGAGCAAACCTCCTAATCCTTCCCAAACAGATTTATGAACTTTTGAGCAAGATTTCAAGCATATGAACCTATGTGTGCCATAATTTAAACAGCCATAGCATGTTAACAATTTTCCAGAAGTATGCTGCACATGTGACATCTATTGTGATGATTGAGATGGTACAACTCATGCAGGATGTGTGGCTCACCCCCTGCCAAGAGCCCTGGATTATAGAAGTGGAGAGTGTGGACTGGGCACTACTGTGTATGCATTAGCCTGTGTCTCTGGGGTATAATACGTGGGTATGATATGAAATGCTTTCTTAAGATTCTCTCGTAGTGGCTTCCCGGATGGGAGAGACTTGGAATTATAACACAAATAATCATTTTCTCCTTTGAATTGCTTTGATCAGGATATTTTATTCAAGCAATGGGAAACAAAGCAAAGACAAACATAATAGAAAAAGTTTCCTTTAAAGAGAAGAAATGCTGCCATCACTAGTAACTTAGTTTATGAACTCACCCTACTTTTATTCTCCCTCTCTTCGTTCTTCCCTCCCTTTCTTTCTAAGTGTGTGTGTGTGTGTGTGTGTGTGTGCACAAGGCAGAGAGAGAGTTCTCCATATGTGTGTTCTCTGTGTGTGGTATTTGCTTGTGTATATGTGTGTGTTGTTATGAGTGACTGTAGATGCATGCACAGGTGGAGGCCATAAGTAGACACCAGATATATTTTTCAGCACAGAAAAAAATAACATCCTCTCTATAGAAAACCTTGCTACATCGATTTTTTTAAAGATTTATTTGTTTATTGTATATACAATGTTCTGCCTACATGTACACCTGCACACCAGATTTAATTATGGCTGGTTGTGGGCCACACTCTGGTTGCTGGGAATTGAACTCAGGACCTCTGGAAAAGCAGCCAGTGCTCTTAACCTCTGAGCCATCTCTCTATCCCACTACATCAATCTTCAAAATTATCTCATAAATTAATAAAGACAAAAGGTT